TGTGCTGAACAGCGTAGCAACGCTGCAATACGGAGGGCATTTTTTCTGCATGCTACTTGATTCAACAGACAAATCATCGCGTTATTTTGTAGAAACTAGAAGCCCACCTAAACTTTGTTTGAATAAAGTAAAAGCTTTGCTAGATTTGTTTCCAGCTGTTTCACGCATATTGCTTCACATAAATGTAAATATATGAAAAAGCACCAAGGATTAATGGTGTAATGATTTTTTTAACAAGAAAGCTGCATAGGTAGGTTCTTGTTACTTTCCATAATTGTATTTATTGAAGTACCTGACATTTACGGAATGTAACTATTCCAAATTCAACAAATGCTAATTTAGGGATTCAGAAAATAAGAGAGATAAGCACTAGAATGAATAGTTCAGATGAATAAACACATGATAAAGCACTTATGAAACAAGATAAAAGATGAAAAGAAGAAGGAAGATGATATCGATATCAGTCAATGATTTTCATCAGATTCGATCAACTTGTGAGTCTCTGTGTACTATGCAGAAGATCAGAGAAAATATCTTGGATCAATGAAGAGAAGGAGCAAAGTTTTCATGAAAAAGAGGCGTGGGTGTGGGTGGATCTGCTTGTGAGGAAAGAAAGAATTATACACAGCCCACACCCACACTCTCGGTCCACCTTTATAGAAGAAATCCAAATGAAAATTTTCAAAACAGATTACAATTTCAATTTTTCGATCCGAGTCACCTTTGGTCAACTTGAACGAAAAATCTTTACAGTGGTGTAAAACCGTACTCGTTGCTTTTCTAGCGCATGTAAGATAACAAAACTTCAAACGTTTTATTTCATATGACTCTATCTCTTCAGTTGAGGAAACACTTGGAACTTTTACTTTGACTCTAACGACTTCATCATTGAAAATCTAAAAGTCATAGAACCACTGTTAGAAAAGGGCTACTCTATGTCGATGCATTGAGTACTCTCCATGTCTTTACACATACATTTTCTAATGAGTATTATGTTTCATCATAGAAGTGCTCTAGAATGAATAGAGTTCTTACCTGATGCATTCATCGGAGAAAATGTGATTGATGCTAAACCAATTACGTTTATTGAAAATGGTCCTATTACATTTGGATTAAATGTCGTTACAACCAAAAAGTATGTTGTCGAAGTATCAAGCCAAATAAATAAACGGAATTGATGATTTCTAGCACCGTCATTATTACTTGCTATCGCATTTTGATACGGAGCAGGAGGAAAGAAAATGTTGTTGTACAAATAGCCAAAGGTATCCATGTTACTGATCGATTTAAAAGAATAGTATCCAGCAATAGAGATGTTCAAACGAAATGCTTGATAAAAGTAGGCAGAATCCGAACAGTCACCCACACGACAAAACTGTTCACTAGCGTCAGTCAGCATTGATGAGTATTGTGAAGTGATCAGCCTTGTAGTACCTAACCAAAGAATAATGAGAAAACTGCACTTTTAACCAAATCTAGTACTATCATTTTATGATAATCTATAGAAAATGGCAGGGACCATTTATTTAGAATTATATAAACTTAACGAGGGAAAATTCCGACTGATACGCATTGTTCGAGCTTACAATTTCTTGGCGGATAAAGTTTATTATATGTACTTATAAAATAACTGAAACGATTCTTGCCAATGCTGCTCGGTTTGCAAGTTATGAGCAAAACCAATCCTTGATAAATAGTTCCACTGTTTATGCGTTGATTTGTGTTGTCTCTATATCCTATGTAGGACACATTGTTTGTGGTTAAAGAATTCATTACAAAATATATCTTATGTGATTTAAATACTAAAACAACTTCTCAGTCGACACATTAAACGAAGAATAAAATAGCGAACAGATAGAGGCACAGTTAAGCAGAAATATGTTTTCCTCATAAGACGGAAATCAATTCAACGATGGTACGAATTCTTTCAGTTCTTTTAAAAACATGACAAAGCTTATTCACTAACGAAGTATGAGCTCGAACGATGCGTATCAGACGGGAATTTTTCCTTGCGAACGAAGAAGAACTACATTGATGCCGTTGAGAACACATTTTCGCAGATTTGATAAATATCATATTAAAACTACAAGTCGTACAGAGCCTTTTCATGCATCACAGTTGATCCAAAAAAAAGGGTTTTCGATTATTGTTCGGAAATGAACGGCTCAATAAAGTTGCATTAAAGAAAAAGGAAAAACTCTGCTTAGTTTTTTCCCAGCTGCTTCACAAATATTGCTACACATTCATACAAACCTATGAAAAATGGTTGAGGATTTTTAGAATTATGAGGTTTTCGAAACAATGAAGACATGTTGTCTCATGATTTACATAGTCGAATGCCAGAGCAGATTGGTAGAGTTTCTCGATCTGCCGTAATTGGTTTTATCCAGGTACGTGATATCTCGTGGACATGATTACTTCACATTCAGCGCATGCTTATAAAGGAGCGAGTGATACTGAGAGATAATCACAAGAATGAATATTACAGAGGAATCAACGCATTATATGGGCGTGATAGAATAAGATAAAGAGAAAAGACAGAATGAGCATGAACGGAAGACCAAATCAATATCAGCAACTGATGCCATTAGATTAGACGTGCTTGTGAGCCTCTGTGAAATATACAAAACATTACAAAGGATCACTTGAACTATGTAAGAGAAGGAGCAACTTGTTTTATTGAGAACCATACCGTGACTAAAACAAGCCATCACTCGAAATACGGATTCGTTTACTCAAAGTCGAAAAAAATATATGGTATATATACGTTTATGATAGACGGAAGTCGAACGTTTTTGAGCAAGTAACGAAAAGCATAAAAAAAAAACTATCTGTCCTATTCAAAGTGTATATGAATATTTATTAAATATTGATATCATTAGAAGGTGGTCGTGGCACTCAAAAATTTCCAGACCACCACGGAAATTAATCGAAAGAGACAATATATTACTGTCGAAAGTTCTTTGGGTAATCTGATGAATTTTATCTTTTCTCTGAAACGCTAAATATGCTCCCAGAGAAAAACGCAAGTTCGGTGTTGTTTCAAAAAGCAGGGTATGGTGGGATAACGTGCTTTGACCTATGTATATATATTAACGAATGACTTTGTTTCATTTAAGATGCATGGAGTAGGTTACTACACTTTAGTATGAAATTGAAGTCTTCAACCTGGTTAAGGGTTTAAAAGTGAAAATAAAAATAAGCGAACTTTAACTTTGATACGGAAGAAGAGTAAAACTGAAGCTTCTGTGAACTTGATCTTTGAAGCAATGACAAAAAAAACTAGACTTTTTTCACAAGAATGGTTCTCACAACGAGCCTATTTTATCCACAAAAAACGATTCAGTGAAGAAGTGTTCTCCTCGCAAAAACTTGTTTCTTATTAGTAGACCATATCGTTTCTTCTCTGAACCCGTTGTCTCTTTCGAAGAAAAATGCTTTTCTAACAAAGTCTACTTTAACTTTTACCTTTTCTGGAGTTAAGATAGTGTGTTTGCTTTTGCTTTAACATGAAAGGTTAAAAACTAGTATCTGAACTTTTAGAAGAAAGCGTGAGTTTTAGATATTTTACTTCAGCTTTGAGTTTCAGGTTACGGTGTTAACACATCGATCTTGTGACGACAATTTCGTTTCAAGAGAGAAGTGCTCTAGAATGAATAGAATTCTCACCTGATGCATTCATTGGAGAAAATGTAACTGATGCTAAACCAGTTACGTTTATTGAAAATGGTCCTGTTACATTTGGATTAAATGTCGTTACAACCAAAACGTATGTCGTCACAGTATCAAGCCAAATGTATAAACGAAATTCCTGATTGTCGACACCATCATTATTGCTTGCTACTAAATTTTGTGATAGATCTGGAGGAACGAAACTGTTGTTGTACAAATATCCAAATGTATTCATATTACTGATCGATTTAAAAGAATAGTATCCAGCAATAGAGATGTTCAAACGGAATGCTTGATAAAAGTAGGCCGAATCCGAACAGTCACCCACTCGACAAAACTGTTCACTTGCGTTAGTAAGTGTTGATGAATATTGAGAAGTGATGAGGCTTGTAATGTCTAATCAGAGAAAAAAATGGTAAAATCGTACTCATAACTCGATCTCTAATCATCAATATATGGAAATCAATACGAAAGGGCGAGGATCCTGTATATAAAATTTTATAAAGCTAAGTTGGAAAAGAGCGGATTGATCACAACGAATAGCTGCTTTCAAAGATTTGATAAGCACCGTAAGAACATAAAAATCGTAGATGGTTGTTTCTTGGATGATAGTGAATGTAAAAACAAAAGTTTCGAGCTATATTGTCGAAATGAAAGGCTCAACAAGCTTTCGTTTGAAGAAACAAAAAATGTCTGCTGGGTATTTTTTGCAGCAGTTTCCCCCAATATTATTTCATACCTGTACGAATATATATAAAGATGATTTAGTACAATTAGAATTATGAGTTTTTTTCAACACTATAGACATTATGTGCCATTATTAAAATAGTTTAACAGTGAACAGAATAGGGACATCTCCGTCATTCTCAGTTTTTCATGTACATTTTGATACCTGATATATCTAGAATGTCACTATTTCATGTCTGACAGATCGTTGTATAGAAGTGAGTGAGAATTATGGATGAGTAGTTACGCAAAATGCGTTTTCTGTAAAAAAAAATCTGGTATAACTTTCTTCTTTCTTGGAGTTTAACGTTGACTGGTAGAAAAGATCTACTGTACGTTGCTACATTCAACACTTTGTATATCTTTATACATCAATCTTTTGATGAGAGCGGTGTTCCATAAAGAACTCCCCTGAAATAAATGAAGTTCTTACCTGACACATCTATCGCTGAAAATGTGATTGATGTCAAACCACTTGCGATTATTGCAAATTGTCCTATGACATTAGGGTTATATGTGGTTACGACCAAATAGTATGTTGTTGCTATATCAAGCCAAATGTACAAACGGAATTGCTGGTTACCGGCACTATCATCATCGATCGATATCAAATTTTGACACGGAGCAGGATAAACGAAACTGCTGTTATACACATAACCAATGATATTCATATTGCTCTTCGATTCAAAAGAATAGTTCCCAGTAATAGAAGTGTTTAAACGAAGGACCTGATAGTAGTAGGCCGATACTGAACAGTCGCCTACACGACAAAACTGTTGACTGCTGGTGGTCAGCGCTGATGAATATTGTGAAGTGACCAACATTGTAGTGCCTAAACAAAGAAGAATAATAAAGATGCACTCTCGATTCGGTCTCGTAGTAGCAATTTAAGGTAATAAAGCAGAAATGTAAAGGACGATGAACATAGAACTTTTTATAACTAAAGAAGGGTCTAGAAATATTCAGCGTTATAAGAACCTTCGTTAATAATGTAAATAACAATATTCTTCTTGCTTTCTTTCTAGTGTATGAAAGCCGAGGAATTCAGCATCATCGTTTTGAGAATATTATATCTATTAGACGTATCATTTTTGATTTATGTAAGATTTGAGCGGCTAATCAAAGTATTCGTAGTAGGACTCTAGAAATTTAACAAAATCTTTTATGAATTTCCTGTTCTACTATCTTGAACAAGTGGCCACCTTGACTGTATCAAGACTCCTTAGTAACTTAATGCTTTCGAATGAAAGTTTGAATATACTTTCTCTGACGAAACATATAATTGGTAGAATTTTGTTTTTAAATTGTTCGATAATAATGTACGAATAGATGTGTCTGAAACGAAGTCAGACATAAAACAGTTAGTATTTCCTATCATCACACCTGCGCACTTTTTTTGGGATGCTTCTTCTATGAGAAAGTTAATCGGAGGAAATGAATGAAGGCGACATGTTATAACTGAATACATGCATGTCTCGTTTTGTTTTTTTCCCATTCAGAAGCACTAGTTGGAAAACACATATAGCCTCTTTATCAAACGGGTATCAAGAAGTATAGCCGGCTAGAAATACATGTTTTCCATGCTTCATGGTAATAAAAAAAGTTGTTTCACGCGAATTGTGTTCAACCCTTACGATTCGCCGATGAAAATTTTAATTATTTATTCAGCTCTCATAAAATTGCAAAATGATACGTCTTTTAGTGATCCCATTTTTACATGGAATAAATTGGATTGTATCGTTTTTCTAAAGTTAAAAGAGAGCATGTATGACATTATCATAGGTGATACTTATCAACGTTCTTGTGAGACAGTATATTTTAGGATTTATCAAGAAATATACTCAACAATGTTTCCTCATAACGATATAAAGAGTTACAAAGTATCAATGTTTAGGTACAACGCTACAAGTATAAAGCCATACATATAAAAGTATACGAGTGAACGGATAGATATAAGGGCACATGCATGAGAACCATAAATATATATAAATAAACATATCCAAGTAAAGATATGGGTCAAAAGCTTTTTGTGTAAATATACAAGTATAATGTAAGAGTATGATAAATCGATGAAATCAGATTTTGGTACCAAAAGAATGAGATTTTTTTCATAGGCAATATAAATCAGGAAGAGGACGAAACAAGTCATTCATAAATTTTTATCTGCATATGTACAAGAGTAGAAGGATGAGATTAATGTAACTTGGAAAAAATCAAATACTGCTGAAGAAACTAAATGATTATCAATTAACTGGAACTGTTTAATACCTAATTACAATTCAAATCAAAATCAAAGCTTCTTACAAAGCAAAATAAGATCATAGAGGAAAAGTCTTAAACCTTTGTTACTTACTTTAAGTGTTAAAAAGAAAACAAATTTGATGATATAATTTTTTATCGGGTTCAATGTTCCAATGTTGTTCAGAAGGTAAACCTGTAAACCCGAAAAATTGTACTTTTCTAGGAGCTACTAACTCCTAGGGTGATAAAAATAAGTTAGAATTATCCAATCACGGATCGTTTGTCTATACTTTCTTATTGTACTACAACACATAACTTTATGCAAAAGAAAAACAGCTTCCCATTTTCATTAAAGAGGTTTCATCAGATGTTTCTTAGTCGATATAAGGAATCGATTCTATCCAATGAAATCTTCAAACTCCCTTTTGAGGTCTACTAATTGTAGAATAAGATGAATGTAAGTGTCAGAACAATACTTGAAGATGTATTCACAGACCTAGGTGTGTCATAAAAAACTATTGATCATTATATAAATTCCTTGGTTTAGTTGATGAATGCTTTTTGAAGTGAAAGTTGTTTTACCTATGAAATATCGCTGTATTGAATTAGCTCAAAATCTACATAATATTCTAGTGAAACACTAGTGTCCATTCAATCAAAATATCTGCTTAAACTTTAAAGCAACTGTAAGCCATCAAAATGAGAATAAAAATACCACAGAACTGCATTCTCTTCTTTTTCTTTGGGCTACACATGATTAGATAGGTTTTGATTTCAGAACATAAATTTGCTTTGTTTTTCAAGGTATCCCAAGTGCAAATTTAAGTTATTTCAACAATTTGAGTACATGTGGATTTCAACAGTTTTCTACTATTTAGAATTTTGCATTAAACTGCTATAGAAAATAGTATTTCACTCTTTGATTAACTACTTATTATTACTAATTAGTTGCTGCTGTGCCTTAAACTAATAAAAAATCAGTACTATAATTATCTACAGAACTGATCATTGCAATTTAAAATAGCGGCATATTCTTCAAGCAAAATTCTTTTTACCACAAAACTTAAGATAAACTAGGTCATATGTCTCGTACTTTGTGACATAATGTAAGACATTAAATTACAAAACGAGATGCTTCTTATCGCACATTCTGAAAACATTGTTTGAATCTAGTATCCAGCACATGTTCGATTTTTTCCTATCGAATCCAATAATGATATGTTTTTTCAATTTAATTCGAGTTAGAGATACTCATCTTTAAATTTAAAAGTAGTCTGGTCTTGAGATCTGTCCAACTCGGCCAGGCTACTTCAAGAGAGTCATCTCTTGATCATTGATGGATCTCTCGTCTTGCTTTCGACTAATAACTAATGGAAAATAATCTACAAAAAAAAGACATAAAAATGCATAAGTCTACCATGTGTATTTGACTTAGTCTTATGTAGCTGCGTGTGCTAAACAAAACGACAAGTGAATAGTCGGCATTCAGATTACAGCACGCTCTACTTGCGATATTAAAACTAGTGGTATATAAGTGCGAGACATTTTATTTTGATGTGGAAGAAAACTTAGAGATATAGATAATGAAGGAAAAACTATTAAGAAAATCTTTAACAGGAATAAAATGGTATACACGATGGAGTTAATTTAGTTATCATAGGCAAGTCACCAGTAAAATAACGGAAAATCCATACTTGAAGATGCTGAAAAAGTATGTCGAAGCTACTTCAAAACCACTATCAACTTGGGTCGCAAGTATGTTAGTTTGGGTTCACATTATATTAACCTGCCTGATACTTAAGTCCAAATACTTGGCTGTCTCTCAAGATTTCAGTATCACTAAAGTACGATGAAGTATTTAAGAATAATTGCAGCACAAACTTGAAAAACTGAGCTCAAACTGGCTTGCATGCGGTAAATATTGATACTAATCTGACGCAGCGAAAGAGTAATGAAAGATAGTTGTGGTATACCGTTTACGTATGTTATAATGCAGTGATGTACAGAATCGATACCTTTTCTCCACGAGAGAAACCTCATCCATTTTAGACCCAAATATTTTTTGGCTCTTTCTGTGGAAGTATGACGATTAAACATGTATCCTACTTTCTCCATCGTCTCGAACATTGTCGAAGCATCTTTTATATACAGATAGTATTCGTCAACTTTGAAAACAGGAAAGTTACGCATCATCATGTCAAAAGTCTTCTTTCATAGATACACTGTATATGTGGTTTGTAAAAAAAGCATCATAGATAATCTTGGGTG